GAGTGCATGAATTCAGGAAAATTCTCGGCATTTTTTGGGGGGGGGGCAACCTCCGACGATGAATGTTTTATCCCATGCAGAATCGCCTAGAAGTCAATTTTTATTTCATTTGACTATCAGTATTATCAACAGCTAAAAGGAGTTCCAATGACGTCTTCCTTATCTGGATTCCTCGCCCAAGTTACAATACAGAAGCTGGAATAGACGGCCCTCCCAAAAAATACATGGGGAATCCTTTCTTATATAAGTAATGTGTTTGAACTCGTTGAAAGACACTTGCGGAAATATTAAATAAAAGTGGCACACACCGACTGCTACTTTACGCACCCAGATTGTACACCCTAAAGATAGGGTTGGATTTCTCGACAAGAAAGAAGTCATCTACAAGATCCCATTTAAAGCTTGTTATACCGCATATTGTGGGCATAAAGTAAGGTCCGTCTCCACACGTATCCACGACCACTAACTGGCAGTGAAGAGACGTGACCCTTTTTCCGAAGTGGCTATGCATGGCCTTGATACGAGGCACAGCTTTGCATTGGAAAAAAACACGCATCATGGGAGTTTGCTCCTCCAAAAATGCCGAGAATTTTCCTGGGGTCATGTACTCCAATGATTCATACATCAACTGACATATTGAGTTGGATGTTGTATACAAACATCTCAAAGAGAGATTGAAGACAGGACAGCCGATCACTACGGACTAACGCGAACCTCAACTGCTAATTGGCGCTCACACCGAATGAATATTAATTGTCCACCCTGGACTGACGCAGATTACAGTTGCCAATTAGCTTTTACTCAATTACAACTACTAATATTTTCCACAATGGAGCGACGCAAATTGCAGCTGCAAATTGGCCGTCACGCCAGATGAATACACAATTTTACGAGCGCTTTTGACATTTTAATTGTTCGTTGCACACCTCAAATTGAACGACGACCAGCATCGAGAATTTCTGAAGAAAGTTTCCTTTCTTCCCAACGGAAGTCTTTCCTTGAAATGAGATTTCTTGGGATGACTGCCTTCCACTTTTGCAAGACCAGATATTCAAAATAAACCAGAACGGCAGTATTCCGCCTTGCCGTCAGGATTTTTTAACTCATCTTACGTTTGTCTTGATCTAATCGAGTGCATGCGACGGGCCGTATTGCTATAGCTGAATATCATACTCAATTATCTGGTATTATTGACTTATAGCCCTCCGCCGAGGACTAAAAATATTCGACGGAACCATTACATTCTTCAATAACACGTCTGCCTAAAGTTAAATGTTAACGTGGCCTGCAGTGTTATTCAACAACGTCGGTATGTCATGCATCGCAAGGGGACCTTAAGTCGCGTCAGCCACGTCGATCACTCGTCGTCAGTTAGTTTAACTCAGTGACTTCAGTGAAAGAGAAGATGGGCAGAATGAGTTTTCAGATCAGCTCTACCAATTTCTTCCATCCCCGTAAACAGACAAAATCACTTTTCAGCCATCACGGCTGCCATCATGGCTTAACACTTCGACAAGTGATGGGCTGACCAGGTCCCACTCGGTTTGGGAGTAAGGATTCCTTGGCTTGCATTTACTGTGGTTTTGATGATACTGCCCTTGATTTGAGATCACAGACCCTTTGGGCCCAGCTTGGTTAGGGTAAAGGTAGAAATTACAGTGGCCCAAGTCCGCCTGCAACGCTCAAACGTTTGCCTCTTAGGATAGGTAGCATGTGCACACTTGAAGGCGAACGCCTATCTGCTCTGGCCAATCATCTACCTGAGGCTGATTCATCTATGACCTCACCGGGGGTGCTTTTTACGACTCCCGCGCTTGCACACTCCGGGCACTGTCCCGCTCTGGTGTAGGCCTACGCTCGTCCAACAGTCAACTTCCTCCTTCCTATTCTACACTTCTTTTCTACAGAATAAAATATTCCTACCATTGGGCGTCTGATTTTTGCTCTTCCCATAAGGATTCGGACTTAAAGAATGCACTGGCTATGGTTTTCCATATTAACTGCACAAGACTGCACAAATAGACTTCCCCATAGACAAATTAATGTTGAGGTCCTCATGTTGGTCTATTCACGACACCGGAGGTTTTCATTACTTTGGACAGCCGAATTATCGCATTTTCTAAAAAAATTATCCTTAGCTTTCGAGGCAGTCATCCCCTCCCCCCAGTTACTCTAAATCAGCATCCATTCGACACTGAAAAACACCAGTCGATTGCATCTACACTCACTACATTTCTTTCAAACTATCAATCATATTCTTCCGTAGGGTCTTCTTGATACAAGTAAGTTCGTCGACCCGATCAATACAAGATTCCTGATTCAGACGGTCCTGGTGAGCTCCTTGCCTTACCTAAACGCCTCCATCGGAGGAGCAATCCAGTCTCTTCATCCAGAAAATCTTCCAAATACGCTGAGTGAACTGAATAACAGTGATTACCTAGATGTGGTTGTCTCAGTCATCAAAGGAAGTTCTAGTTTGGCGTAAGTTTTCATATGCTCTTCAAATATACACCCTAATAATACGGTACCATATTGGTGAAGTCAGTAGTTAATTTATGTGAACATAAAATTTAGTGCAAGATCTGCCGTTTTTTTTTCCAACTGGGCCTTTTCCCCCACCTTTATGGGCACTGGCGGCAGCATATGCAAAATATGCTAACTGCACGGCCTTATAGGAGCAGGCCTGACTTCAGTTTTTAATAGACACTGTTGACAAAAACTCATCTCCTCTTCCTCCTCCTCCTCCTCCTCCTCAAATCAGCCATGTTAAATCCATGGAATTCGGCAAAGTCCTGTACTTTTTAAATTCGACTTCATTAAAACAAAACGAAATGAGGAATTAACACTTGCTCTAACGCAGAACTGGGATATGATCTTTGTTTATGCTTCACCACAGGAGTGGGCTTGGGAGGTATTTTTTAGTCCCGAGATTTTGTGGATTTGTCTATTGAAGCTAGACAGACTGTAATGGACTAAAGTCAGAAAATCCTGCTGACTTAAGGAGGCGCTTGAGGACATGACAGTTCCTCACATGATGCAAATCGTTCACGGCTACAGAAAGGAAACTTAAACTGATTTTTTCCGAGTTTCAGACAACTGCTGAAACATGATTAAAATCGAAACTAAGTTGAACGGCCAAAATGCTCATTCCCTCCTTCGTTGACTACATTCGGGCAAGTCGGTTACCCCTTTAAACCTAAAACGTGAATCATCTCTTCAAATACATTCTGTCAAGTAGGGTCGTTCGTACTTTGCATTCGACCGTGGTAGTTGAGGTGGTGCCTATAAACCACAGTTGTTCTTCAAGCTGCAGAATAGGAGATGAGGAAGCCCGATTACCTTGTATAAGTCAGGTCGATCATGTCCCGCAACTCTCATTGTTAATATACCCGATCATAACCGGCAGGATACCGAGCCCATGACTTACATGTTAGGGCTTTCGACGTCTAATCAACAGATCGTAGGATGGAGCTTCAGCGACTAAAAATCTTGGGGGTCGGCTATGCTCGGCTTATAGCTACTAATAAGCCAAAAATAGCTATTGCAGTCTTCTTATCATAATGTTCACTGTATGGCTGATGGCGGGGCTAAACGTAAGTTCCAAATCACATTCGGGACGAGAATGTCCTGTAACACAATCGAGGAGCGCCCTCTCTCATAACCGTGTACACCAGTTATTCTCCATTTTTTTAGAGACGGTGGTGGAAGAAACACCCTGTTAAATTGTCTAATGCAGGCCGATATTGAGGACATTACGCTCCAGATTGGTGCCTTGATGGACGACCTTTTACAGGCGCTTGGCATCAGCTTGTTACTATCGCCACCGGCGGACAATGCTTCCATCTCGCATTCACCGGCGGCCAATTTGCTTTCACTCATTGCCTTTGTAGTCTTTCGGATTAGCAGCGGTCATCCAGAATGGATGGAGGAAGAGACACAACGCAATCGGTTGTTATGTAGCTACCTCACCGGCACCTCAGGCTTGACCGATACAGCAGGTATGACTGATAAGGTATCTGCCCAATCCCCTCTGGAAATTTTCGTACTGCCCACACAAACAGCAAGTGTCTAGGACTCCCCATATAGAGTGTGTTACCTAACTCGTGCAAAATACCGAAATTTATTAAAGCTTGATAATTACTCGCAAACTGGCATTAGCTAATGCACCACAGGTTTGAAAAAATGTGGGGCAACTTTAAGTCAATTCATGACAAAGAAAATGTTCAAAGTTATCTTGCGTTGTCTAGTAATATCGATGTTTTAAGAATAGCGGCGAATTCTGAGGACTTAGAAATCGCCTTAACTGAGTAAACTTAGGTTTTAGATGTACATAAATCTTGTCCATGCATAAAAAACGAGTCAATACATCAGCAAAAGTGGAGTAACGTTTGAAAATAAACTTTTACTGCAGTGCGCACTTAAATTTCCTTCAAGAATGTGTGTAATATGAAGGGTAGCCGTTAACAAGCAGCCTATAGTTTGGATACACATTCCACTACAGTTTCACGAGCTTTGGCTGTGTTTTCTTTCGTTTTCTATTGTTTGCGATGCTTTTGTCTAATATAGACAGATTATTGTTTGATTTAATCTATAGAGATGTCAAAGGAATAAGATATTTATAAGACCACATCTTGACAATCTGTCCACTGACTGACTTACCTGAATAGAAATATCAGGTGCATCCATTATATATTTGGAGAAAATTCCTATCGCCAACTTTCCGTATAAGTATTTCCGGTGTTGCGTAGCGATGAGTGTTGTATCATTTTTAAAGAATTGAACGATACCTCACGATTCGCATTGTTTTCAATCGGTTGCCTCTAAATGAAGGTTTTGTTCACGAATGAAAGAGAATGTTCTCATTCTAGGTATTTGCATGTATAAGGCAGGATTGTCAAGCACCGGATCAATTTGTTTATTATCCTGAGCTTTCGAACTCTTACAGGAGTCCATCGTCACAGATAAGAAACGGCAACATAAGAGGGCCCAGTTGTAGTGTGTGTACATCAATCAACTGTCAAGGATCATAAGGTGGTGAGGGGTGATAAACCGCAATGAAAAGGGCGGGAAAGTATGAGGGCAAATATAAAAGTATATGTTGATTAACCGTCAGTGATGTCAAAGTTCATCAGGGCGTCAGCAACGAAACTGGGGCAA